ATATACACTTATGGAAGTAGCAATAATAATCCATTTGAATATAATTTGAGTCCTTTTAAATACAATTTGAATTATCTACTAATACTCTAATGACTGGTAGCTGACATTTGTTATAGTCAACAGAATGTCTAAAGGGGACTATCAAAATAAAGTGTTACCAATATACTGATTGGGTAGGTAACTATAAAGTTTACTCTATTTGCCCCAGTTTACCAGCCATTTACTTTCATGTCTTTTGGGAGACGTGAATGAATTTACGTGTTGTAAATCGGACAGCTCCGATTCCCGGGATTGCACCGCAAACTAACATGGCGGTGCCCATCGTGCATTATGGGTCAAACATGATCATTATAAAGGTGTTTAAACAGCAAAATAACTTGTATTTGAAAAACAGAATATCAGATATTTCATGATGTAGTTAACAAGTCTCCTCTATTTTAATTTAAGACACCTCCCATAATAAGATGTGTGTTCAAGTCAGGGAGTAAAGAAGATATTTTCTGAATAAAGTTTTCATCATCGATTTCAATTCGGTGCAACCTTTAACATTCATAGTAATTTAAAAACCTTTAACATTTCAACTGGTAAAATTAATGCAGGAACCCTCTGACTTAACAATAAATTAACTAGCGATCATTGGTTACAACAACAAAAAATGTAAGAAAGAGGAACGTCTCGGGTTATGCATGTAAACATGCTTCCCCGAGAGGGAACGAGACACTGCGTCCACTAGCAGACACTATGGGGAATGCTGCCAGCATGACCGGTGTCTGAAGCATGTGTGAAAAAATGCCAATCCTATTGGTCTATGTGGCCCATGACATCATAGGTGGGTGCCCGGAAGTATAAAAGGGCACCTGCTGAATACAACTTAGTTGTCTGAAGGAGACGTAAACAGGCAGGCCGAAGGCATGGTGAAGGGACACAGCATCTCGTTCCCTCTCGGGGAACCATGGTTATTGGCGTAACCTGAGACGTTCCCCTTCTAGGGAACTCATGCTGCGTCCTCTAGCAGTCACCATGGGGAACAAAATGCTGACTATGACGAGGTGCATGCCTGTCCACCTGGTGAGAGACCAAGGTGGTGACAGACATTCACCTAACCTTTCCTCAGAAAGGGGCTAAGCCACTGACACCCCGGGCCGCTCACATAACTTGGCAACGGAGATGGAGAACCCAGTTCAGATAAAGAGGAACATTCAAACCCAAGTTAAGAACACAGCTATCCTCAGATAGCTATGTTATGCGAGCAATACTAGCCTGGAAACACAAGACCACCGAAGAGGTAAACTAGAACACCTCTAGATAGGAGTTCAAAGAGATCGCTACTTAAAGCCCAAGTAAGGGGAGTAGCTGTTGTGCTAGAATACAGCTATCCTCAGATAGCTATATCCTAAGGGTCTTATGAAACTGCCCAGACCACAGAGAGTGGGCTGTCTACTTACAACCGTAAGAGGGGAGACAGCACTGTCTAGGCCGAGGCTCAAGGGGACCGCTACTTAGAAACAGCAAGCAGGGGAGCAATCACAGAGATAGCACATATATATCCTCAGACAACTATGTTTTCAGGAAAGAGCTAACACAGTTAGCCTCAGATAGCTGTATTATGTAAGCCCGTCCTGTCATAACAATGGCTGGAATATAACCATCCTCAGATAGCTGTACTATACAGGTCCCCAATCAGTGTAGTCCCATAGAGGATAGCAACTACCATGTTATTGACCAGCAGCTCACATGAGGGAGATCTGGACCATCAGAAAACGATTAGCTAAAGTGCAAACACATAAAACATCATTAGTCCAAGATCAAAGCCATTACACCAGAGGGCTGGACACAGCTATCCTCGAGTAGCAGTTCCCTCAGATAAGACTGAAGACTGCCCAGACCATGGAAGTAGGCCATCTCCTTAAACCAAAACAGGGGAGACAGCACAGTCTAGGCAAGGGGCTCAAGGAGACCACTACTTAAAAACCCTAACAAGGGAACAGTCTCAGAGCTGGAACACAGCTATCCTCATATAGCAGATTCCTCTACAAAGACTTCAGCACTTACTTGAGAGCTTGTATCAAGGGTAACCCAACCTAGTCATAGAAACCAGGCTAGAAAACATCTGCCCTCAGACCGCTATATTCCAAATCAAAATAAGTTTGTGCTGGAGCATAACTATCCGCAGACAGCTACACTCTGAGCAGGGGTTGTTCACTTAAAGCCCTGAAGAGGGGGAAACAGCCCATCTACTCAGCCCAAACTTAATAATCTGGATTCAGAGGGACCGCCTAATTAAAAATACCCAGAAGCCTGGGGAGACAGCCCACTCCTAAACCCATCCGGCATGACACAGGAAGGAGCATTCCCCATAACCACTCTAGATCACTGAAACACCCTGGGAGAGAAAGCTCACAAGCATCTCTCCACAGAGCATTTAAATATATCTTCGGCTAGCAAGATTCTCCACACACAATAATATGCATATTAGAGAGGAACACCCGAGGTGAATATAGTTTTGCCCGCGATCTCGCAAGATCAGGGCTGAAACAACTCCATGCTCACACTTCATTGTCCTAACAACCCAAATACTGTCTAGAGTGAGCAGAGGCCAGCAGGCTAGAGTGAGCAGAGGCCGGCAGGCTTGCGGCAACCACATGTGACGACCCCGGGCTGGACTCCGCTTCGTCCACGGTGAAAGCCGATCCTGCGATCCACAGCGCAACTTAGAATGAGCCATTTTAGGTAGGCCATTTTAGGTAGGCTTAACTTTTATAAAGAATATCTCTTTAGATTTGAGACTTTAGTCTTTGCAACTTTACAGATCTTCTTTATGCACCAAGAGCTTGTAACACTCCAAAGAGAAAGAAAAAATTGAAATCGCATCATATGACCCCTTTAACTGACTTAAACTGATCCTGTCGTTTGTTGAGTTCCACAGAGAAGTCAGGGAAGATAAAAATCTTGGATTCCTTATAGTGCAACTCTCCATGCTCCCGTGACAAAGTAAGATTTCCTCCCTCGTTTGGAAGCGAAGAAAGCGTACAATCATGGGTCTCGGAGGCGCTCCGGAATGCGGTTTCGGTGCGAGGGACCAGTGTGCACGTTCAATCTCTGGCATCTGAGATAGTTTATCTCCGGAAAGTTCAGTGTAGAATGATACCATGAAATGAGAGGGCCTAGACATTTCCACATTCTCTGGGATACCCAATATACGGAGATTATTCCGCCTCGAACAGTTTTCCAGATCATCTGCCTTAAACTCAGACCTCAGCGAAGCAATTTCCTCACGAATTGTTGTGGTAAGCATTTCTTTTAAAAGAGCTGGGGCCTCATTTATAAAATGTTGCGTATAAACCATCCTAAATTTGTTCTAAGATAATTTCTCAAAAGTGTGTATGTGCGATTCAGAGAAAACGAACGTGCGCACAAAAACATGTGCGTATGCCTCTCTTCCAGATGTGACATTTATAAATCGCAAATGATCTTGAAATTGTGCGCAGCTGACTGGCGTCAGAGCTTTTTCCTTGAAAAAACGCTCGCGGTGCACGCCGATTGCCCCCTCGGAGACATCGCGTGCGTGCTCTTCGCCCAAACAAATAACGCATAGATTGTGTGTGTCATCAGATGTTAAACAACGACAACACGGATGCACATATGGCTGTCGCCGGCCAACGAGTTGGTGTTTTTTCAATGTATGCTTCAGATACGGGTCACGACGAGGCGTTCCCCATAGCGACCCCTAGAGGACGCAGTTCGAAGTTCCCATGAAAGGGAACAGTCAGAGATGCGTTTATGCAATTATTTTTCTATTTTACACATTAGTAGTAAATCAAGACTTCGCAAGTTCTCTTGTAAAATAAAATAATAAAAAAAAAAACATGGAATAAACTGTGTACAGAAATCGAGTAGAGAACTCTCAACATTAGGCTACTAAAAAGGTCCATTTAATCTCGCAAAAACTCCCGTTAATAAAAAATCTGACTACACTGCACAATTAATCTCTTACACTGCATCTAGGTTAGGTTAGGTTAGGTTACTTTATTCATACCCGCAGGTAAATTTGTCTTGCAGTAAAATGACAGGAGTCATCATTTAAAATAGAAGTAGACATTCGTTGCAACTGTCTGGTATACAACGATGTTGGATCCAACTGTGACTCACCCACCAATCGACTAGACCATTTAACTATCTGGTTTAAAGAATTTCTCACTTTTAAAGATGTTTGACCAAACCATACGACCAGAGAAAGAGACAAAACTGATTCAATAAAAGCATGATAAAACATGATCATTAACATGATCTATGTTGTTTATGATGAATTCGGTGCTTGAACATACACCGCTTTCATTATTATTGCAGCTTAGATGTTCAAATAGCTGCAGTACTCCGACTTTGCCACAAGGAAAAGTGCGTACGCCTGCTCAGACCCTGACGTGGCGGTAAGTACTTTTCCACGTCAAAGACCGTTTTTATAAATATGAACGTTGCCGTGGATTTTAGCGTACGCACACTCTAAGATCAAATCTGTGCGTACGCACAATTTATAAATGAGGCCACTGGTGTTAACTCCGAAGCAATTGCGGCCATGTTGCCGGCATCGTCAGCTTCATCAAGAACAGGGGAAACGCGCCTGGGTTTAGTCATAGTAGTGATCAAAACAAGCTCCAACTAGCATTAAAGTGTTACTTAGTGTTGTAGGCATCGTCCTAGATCATTAAAAATACGAAACGTTCCCATTAACTATTAAAAAAAACAATTTACGGAGCAGCTCCCGGACGCGCCTCACTCACTCAACTGCATACCGGAAGCTCAAGATGATAAATTCTAAAATAATGGTCGCCTTAAATAATGCAGCTAAACAGAGACAGATGTAGACGACTGATAATGTGAAGAAGTAGCACCACTGCTACTAATGGATGAGATGATGGTGTCGAGTTTCCATTTTGGAGTTTCCATTTTAATCAAAATGCAAAGACAAATTCTAATGATGCATTGAATGTATTATAATCCACCGAGGAAAAATGTAAGACCCACAAATTATAGAGGTTCCCTATCAATTTTTTGATCTGTTAAAATTAATGGGGAATATCTTGTGCTTTTCTGTAGGAAATCGGCGACTAGGACTATGATTAACAACTTCATTAGTGGCAGTCACAATTAAAGGGGTCATATGATGCGATTTCAATTTTTCCTTTCTCTTTGGAGTGTTACAAGCTCTTGGTGCATAAAGAAGATCTGTAAAGTTGCAAAGACTAAAGTCACAGATATTCACAGTTGTTGTGCATATCTTTAGATAGCACTTCAAATCTTAGTCTTTTATGTTCTGTTAACCAAAGTTTGTTTTAAAACTGGTCTTACCTAGCACCTCCGTGGAACTGAATGTGCACACCTCCTACGTCATCACTACAGGAAATGGTAGTGATGGAGAGTCGGCCAGCTTCATCCCCTAACCCGAGTAGGGTTTTGATTTTGATATTGTACACAGCCAGATCAACTGAGCCACCATCATGGCTGCAATCATAGAACAAAAGACAATCATTTTACATACTCAAAGAACAACATAACTCCTTGATGTTGCAAATGTCTTATTAACACATCTTATTGATATATAATGCATATTTCTAAAACGTAAAATCCCACACATAGACACGACATACTTCATGATTCTTAACTTGCCAGGCATAATGGCATGAATAGCAGATGGTGAAAGCATAATGGTTAATTTGTTGATTATAGGCATGAGAAACATAAAATTACAGCAAAACCATAAGTAACAAGCATAGAAATATTATAATCAAGTCTGTGTGTTTCTAAGTGAAGAGTGATTCCAGGAATTCCACAAAATGCAATTCCAAACCTGTAAGAACTTTGTTCATCTTCGGAACACAAATTAAGATATTTCTGATGAAATCCGAGAGCTTTCTGACCCTGCATAGACAGCAAAGGAACTACCACGTTTAAGACCGAGAAACGTTGTAAGGACATCCTTAAAATAGTCCATGTGACATCAGTGGTTCACCCTTAATTTTATGAAGCTACGAGAATGTTTTGTGTGAAAAGAAAACAAAAATAACAACTTTATTCAATGATTTCTTCTCTTCCAAGTCAGTCTCCGCCACCATTCACGAGAGTACTATGACACATACGTGTGTGTTCCACTGCTTGTTCCGGCTCCTGTGTCATCAGCATCACACGCATGCATTGTGGTACTCTCGTGAATGGTGGCAGAGAATGACCCGGAAGAGAAGAATTGTTGAATAAAGTCGTTATTTTTGTTTTATTTGCACACAAAAAGTATTCTCGTAGCTTCATAAAATTACGGTTGGACCATTGATGCCACATGGACTATTTTATCGATGTCCTTACTATGTTTCTGGGCCTTGAACATGGTAGTTCCCTTGCTGTCTATACAGGACCAGAAAGCTCTTGGATTTCATCAAAAATATCTTACTTTTTTTTTACTTTTTAAAAAAAAATTGGTCCATTGATAGCCCTGATTTTAGGGGATGAATTACGAATTTAATGTCCAAAGCGAGAATTATTATAATCCACGTCTGCCCATCGTCATCCTTGACAGGATTTCTAGTTTTATGGCCCACATGCAGTGCCGATCCTAGACTTCTGGGGGCCCTATGCAAAACTGTGTCGGTGGTGGAGTGGGGTATGAGTGGTTACGAACGAATGAATGAAACGCATTTGTCCGTGTTTCACTACCTCTCGAATCGCACTCGCGGAAAGCGCTTGAGAAACAGTGTCTCTCCCGCGGCTCGTACGCTTTCAACTCGTTTTTTTAGTCTCGAGCAAGATTGTACGACATTCACATTACATGATTTGACGGATTTTTACGTAGAAAGGGCGACAGCGCACCGCATTAAAAGAAACGATCATTCATGTTTTCATAACCGCTGGGCAAATAAAAAAAACAAAACTAAAATTAAATCATCTTTGAGAGCAAGGGGGCCCCCTTGCTCCCCTACGCATCTTGCGCATTTTGCGTATAGGGAGGATCGGCTCTGCCCACATGGCTCTGGAGTGTGGATTTGGGGCTACTTGTGGAATTCTGCTTATTGCTTTACCTTTGCACAGCTTTGATTAAAGCATCAATGTTTAATACACTCTGGGGTTCTACAGCACCATATCTTGCATTTATTTTATTAACAATGACTAATAAGCAGATATTCAAGAGAGTCAGTATTTTTAATTAATTTATGACAGCTCACTGCCTATACATTTTTTATTATTATTATCAATGCTGACTGTTGACACAAGACAGGTTGGATAAATGGATTAATGCGGATGGTGCCAATTTGTGACCCTGTCTGTGAAATCCAGGCTAAAGTCTCAAAATCTAATTATTAGATAACAAGCATGCAAGCAAGTTTGATTTCAACCATTAATTTCACTATGATTTCAATCTTTGACATGGCCTTACTCAGTCAATATTAAAGATATAAAGGTTATATTTTCACAGAAAGTTCTACATCTTTATGAAGGATGTTTTTATGTAGAAAACAGTAAATCACAAAAAAATGACTTTAGTTGGGTTTTCACAGGCAGGGTCACATTTGTGTGCCTCAGCAGAAATTGATATTTACCAAGGCGGGATTCTGAGATGCTATTCTGTTCACCACAACTGTAAAAAGGGGATATCTAAGTTACTGTATCCTTTCTATCAGTTTAAACTAGTTTGACAATTCTCTGTTCATCAGGAAGGTGTTTCTGACCATAGAACTGTTGCTCGCTTCAAGTTTACAGATATCACATCTCAGAGTGGGCGATGATTTGTCTAGTTCAAAATGATAAGAAATTACATGTTTTTAAGAAATGTAGTTGAGTAAAAAGTATTTTGGAATGTTCTCAAAGTAAAAATACTCTTAATGTAAAACATAATTTGTTGCTGTCCACCACTGATAGAACATGTTATTTGCTTCCAAGACCACCTGAAAAGTGAAACTGATATGATTGCAATTTCATTCTCCTTCCAATGATTCACTGGTTTACTTACATGATGCCAAACTGTGTTGCCCAGCTGCCTGTGATAGCTAATGAGAGTTGACTGACTTCCACAGATACACCTATTCCCTTTTCAAATTCCATTGATGGGCCTGACATGCTGCACTGCACAACCTGCATGCTGGAGACATGCACACAGTTTATGAATTATTATTTTTTTTTGTATGCTTAAACAACTGTTCATCACATGTGATGCATTTGTTCATTTGGTTTAATTGTTCGTCAGTGTACTGTGTACTGACTTTGAGATGACATATTCTACAGTGCCAATCCCAATGTCCACCCCACCCCGGACCTCTGGGATTTCAGTACTCTTCAGTTTGTTTTGTATCCAAACAGCCATCATTTGAGACACTGAACACATAAAAACATAAACATCTACAACACCACATTTTTGACATCACATATCAAATATACACAAGTTTATTCATACAAGGTAATTCACTGTAATAAATCACTGGCAATAAGAAAACGGGGATATTTCTTATTATATAATTAGCATCAGACAAACAATATAATTCTTATTCTCAGTGACGCAGAGAGGCTGCATGGTGCGCTTTTTCTTAACGTCCGTTTCCATAATGACTTGTCGATTTGTCCCTCTATTGAGAATGTTTTGTGTGTTAACCGTGAACATACTCTGAGTTGACTGAACTTACTCCCGGACACGTTTTTGGAACCAGCATACCTCAAGTAAGCCAGGTTTGGGTTAACCAGCCGAGAGTTCAGGGTATATGTGACGGTAAGTTAACCTTGCTTTCTGGAATACAACCCAGGGGTGCCCAATCCTGTAACTAATTTAGATTTTCAGGAGCTTCAATAATTAAAGACAGGTGTGCTTGATCAGGGTTTGAACTGAATTTCGCAGGTAGGTAGATCTCCAGGAACATGACTGGGCACCCCTGCATTAGAGTATCTGATGGGTGCTTCTCAAACGGAAGGCTGCATATCTCGGCTGCCACGTCATCAAACGTCGCTGAAGGCCATCTCAATCGGACGGTGTGGGTGGGAACATATGTGACGTAGCCACGCGCACTTACTAGACTGTCTCATTCTAGCGTTTCATGCCGAGGAGGACTCTAGCCTACAAGACTCTGAAGGACTGAACTAGGAAGGACACAGCCTCGGTAGGATGCAGCCTTCTGTTTGAGAAGCACCCGATGGATTACGTGTGCTCCACTAACTTCACTCCCATTGGTTGTCTCTCCTAAAAGTTAAAGCTTATTTGCATAGAGTTAAACATCTGTGAGCTTTGTTGAGTCACTGGACATGTCCATATTGCTTCAGAAATGGTCATTGTTGCTTGTGTCGCTGGAAATCGCAAAATGAATGGGATCCATTGAAAATGAATGGGATAATTTTGCTATCACTGCGTTTCACGAGCAGTGTGAATGGGGGCATTACTCTGCTCTCTAGTTTACTTTTGTCCACCTCAACCAGACAATGGTGAGTGGAGTTTGGAGTGTAAATTATTGCCAACCAGGCTAGCTTAGTGTAAATATGATATATAGATGTAATCAGTGCAGTGACTTTCATGTGCATGTGAAGAACTTACCATCTCTGAGACCCTTTTCTGACAGAACAGCTTTTAATGCAGGGTAATCTGCATATGTGTGTGTCAGTATCAACAGGAAGAAAATTACCAGCTGCATCCCTCAACTCCTGTTGTGTAAAACAAAATATTTTACATATGAGATTTATGTGTCTTTCAGCTTGTGACATAATTTGATATTTACATGGTATGTATCACATGTATCTGCATCCTAACACCACTTTTCCATTCATTCAGATGATTTGAACTGACACTGCTTTCAACAATATATTATGTGTGCTCCCTCTAAATGGAACCCATGGCTTTGGCATTGTTAAAAGAGTGTTTTACCAGAAGTTCACATCAAATGACCCAGTGGATGCAAATGTGTCTAATGTCAGTCACAGTCCCTCTGTTCAGCTGCATCAAAGTCACTTCCTTAAACTATAGAGAAGTGAGCCTAAGACCAGAACACATCTGCTTATTTGAGGACCCTGCTCAGACAAATATATAAATTTAACAGTGTGTTTATGACCACAGTCATGTTTTAGTTTGTCTTACCGCAAGTGGCCTTGCATTCCAATAAATGTATTTTAATTAAGCGGGTTTCATTTTTTTTTTTTTCCTTAAAGCTACAAAAATTTTATTTTAACACCTTATGTCTTTTACAATCTTTTGTCTTTTGAGTAGCACAGCACAGAAGAAAGCAGCTATTTCAGATAAAGTCAGCTCATTTATATTTATTGATTGAAAAGTTGCTATTATTTGAAGTAACTAACAGCATTTGTAAGGTATATTTGATCAGCATGTATATTTCTTGACAATCAAATGCAAGATCTTGGCATTCCAATCTACCATTTTGCGCTTCAACACATTTATCTTTCATATGTTTATATTTATAACCTAATATTCATAACAAGATTCCCATGATGTAATAAATAAATAACTTATCTAGATTAATTGTAAGTAATGCTAAAATATAAACTAAAGTTGTAAGAACATACCTCACAATGTACCGAACAGCCAGGTGTCTGACAGGGAAAGTGTTTCTGTGTAAGTGTTTCCTCAAAAGCTGCTTTAAAAGATCTTCATTCTCAAGGGGGAGGGGTGTTCAGTTCCTGCTTTGGGTCTTTTTAAATATTAAAGGATAAGTACTTGGGCTGTCAATCAATACTGATAACAACAACAACAATAATAATAATAATAATAAAGCTTATTACAGGACTTTAATTTAATTTATTACATGACTTTAAATAAAAAAAACTTTAAAAAAAAAAACAAAGCTACACTATGTACTCTCTGGCCCTCTAATGGTTGAAAAATAAAAACTGCATGCAACTTGCTGAAGAACATTGTTTTTGTCGCGCTTCAACTCTGCTCCTCTGCTTGGAAGCACGTGGTTCATCATCAGTGAAGTATATTTTCAGGAATATATGGCCTCTCGGCCCATAGTTCCACAAATCACAGTAGCATGTCAGATATATATATATATATATATATGGATGGGTGGGTGGATGACGTTAGTGAAAACTTTTGCCAGCAATAATAAACAACCAAGGTTTAAGAGTGAATTCATACCCAAAATGGGATGATAAAAAAAAAAAAAGTTAAATGTTTGCATACAGTAATCTCCTACAAATTTGATGAAGTGCATATCTATTAAAAACTCTCTTCCCTTCATGAGTGAACTGATTGCTAGTTCTTTTTTATAAACAGCAGTTTCTTCCTTAGCATACCAGAATGTGAACTGACTTAATGCCAAAGAGCCATTAGGGGAAATCTAGGGACTTCTAGAGTGAGGTTGTTTGTTCAGTTTGTTAAAAGACATGCTTTCATAAAATGAGGAAGAAATGCCAACATAAAGTTAAAAAAAAAAATGCCACCAGAATAAAGGAATAAAATCATGCAGATATAGTTTCTACTTGCATGCTTAATTATGTTTTTTAAATATACATTTGAGGTGTTGTGTTTCTATGCATAGCTGATATTTAAATAATTTCAGTTTATTTATACATTTTTATTCTACGTTGCTATATCTGATTTTCACTGATGTTTTAGTGTTTGTCAACAGGTGAGGTTTTTTTTCTTTCTTTTTTACAGATTTTATTGCATCAGATACATTTTTATACACTGTTATGTGGGTAGTTGATCAGTCATCTAAAATACACACTTTCTAGTAAGCTTACATCTTATATGACCAGTAATTTCACTGGTGAATTGTAAAAATGAGCCATGAAACTATACCATGATTTCTTTGACAAATTAGTTACTTCCCTTGTATATTTGTATCAAACAGCACAAGCATACAAACACTATTAATCTGTCTGTAAAACACTACTCATAGAAAACAGTTCCATTGTGATTTTGTTCCTCATATTTTCATCTTGTTGGCTCAAAGGCAAAGCCAAAATGTTTTGGCACACGATAAAAGGAAAAGCTTGTCTTTCCAGATAACCATCTGAATGTGAATTAAATTAAAGTTGTTGACAGTCACTGGAGTTTTTAAAAAAAAATTTTTTATTTCTTGTTTCCTTGATTCAATAATGTAGTAGTACTGTTCATCATTCTGACATTGCAAACCAGGTTTTGCTATTCATAGTTTAACTAAACGAGGGGATGACGAGACACACCTGGACTCAATGAAACACAATAGGAACAGGAACAGAAAGGAAACCAAATATGGGCATTTAACACACGAGGGAAAACTAGGTCATGGGGAGCAAAGCACAACACAGACAGTCCATCTTCCTGTCAGGAATACAGTAAAACGGATCACAGTGTATTAATTGGCTTTACTAATGCCGAGTTCACACTGCACGATTTTAGCCCGATTTTTCACTCGCCGACAGGTTTTGCGAAATCGCCGACAAATGCCCGACATCGGAGGCAAATCGGTGCTCGTTCACGCGAGTGACAATCACACAGTGTGAATTCGCGTGTGTTTTGTTGTGAAACCTAGTTTGCGGATCAGACAGAGCTGTCGGCGATTCTTCCTATTGTGAAGTCATGCCGTGTGAAGCCCCCTGTCGCCGATCCATCGTGCAATGTGAACACAGCAGCAACTGAATGCTACCCCAGATAGTCATGCGGTGTGAAAACAACGCAATCCGACGAGTTTGAAAATCGTGCAGTGTGAACTCGGCATAAGTCTCACGGCCAAAGCTTTAGACACAATTTTATATTCTGAACATAAAAGTGAAACAGGGCGCCAATTGCTGATATACTGAATATGACCTTTTTTAGGTAATAGTGTAATGACTGCTCTTCTGCAGCTTAGTGGCAAGAGTCCTCTTTTCAGACTGTCATTAAAACAGTGAGCAGATCCTCTCCTATGACGGGCCATAGAGTCTTATAAAACTCAACAGGCAGCCTGTCAGTTCCTGGAGATTTACATTATCCATGCTCGTCATGGCAGTATAAAGCTTTTGCAATGACAAATTCCATTGTAGTCCTTTATTAGACTCATCATCCACCTTTGGCAGTCCTTCAAAAAAAGTTAGCAGCATCTGCACGCCATTCCATCAGTTGACTTTTATACACATAAGAAAAAAAATCCACACCACAGCTACGTATATTGGCAGGCTCAGTGATTTCCTGTCCTGTAGCTGAGCTCAAAGAATGAGTCATTTTACTTTGACCTTTTTTTTTTTACTTCTAAATTAAAAAAGAATTTCGAAAGGACATCCATTTGGGCTACAGTTTGAAAAAATGAGTGGATTAAAGCTCCTTGTGCTCTGACTCCCAACAGGTCTACTAATTTTTTCTTTAATTCATCAATATGCTTCTTATTTTTTTGTAGATGTTCTTGTAAAGCAACAGTTTCAGTTTCTAAAGTTTTCATTAAAGGGGTGGTTGATTGCAATTTAACTTTTTTAACGTTAGTTAGAAATTGGCAGAGATATGTTGAAAAATTCATGGTAAACATGAAAGCCAAATTGAAACCAAACTATTTTTTTACTGTAAGCATTTGTGGTTGTGAATACAGTATTACACAGTACGAAAGAAAAGAAATACATCAACCATGTATAGTTGGATCGAATCGAAACATAATTTTGAAAAAGGTGATTATTCCAAAGGAATGATGTGCAGGGCCGGATTATCCATAGACGGGAATGGGCGAGTGCCCTGGGACACCAGCCAATAGGGGGGCGCCAAGTGATTAAGATAATGACTAGACCTTTAAAATATTTTTCATGTGAACAGTTGAAAATGAACAGTTAATGATAAAATATATACAGAGAGAATATAAAATATATGCACATATAAAGAATTGCGATTGGGTCAGGTCACAGTGTATTTGCCCCCTCCCCCCAGTCAGAGTCAAGCCCGCAAATGTATAATATTAAATTCAAAATGGATAGGCAGTATCAGCTTAGCGGTTGTGCGAAACGTAAATTAAAAAAAGAGAAAATATCACAACACATAGCCACCCTTCAAAAAGTACCTGAAATATCAAATTTTTTTCTTATAAATGAAGAAAAGACAGAAACATCAGCATCACCAGCAGAAGGCACTTGTAGCAAAACTAATGCCTCAACCGATACGACTCGAGCAGCAGCTGATGTTGTGAGCAAAGGCGGTAACCAGGTGCAGGAGAGTGGAGGCAACACAGGAAGCAGCCGCCAGAGGATTTTACCATCTCAACGGACCCTGAACTATGGGGAGCTATCATGGACTACGTCAGGGAAGTTGCTATTTCTCAAGGTCCTGCGGCCTTTCAGAATAGGGCACCTAAATACCAAGCATCTGTGCGGGACATCGGTATTGGAGGTAAAACGCAATCACTTACCAAATGATTTATTGCATTGTTGCCTCCCAAACAACGAGGAAGTGTCTAGAGAGTGGTTAATTTACTCACCATCAGCAGGTATGGTTTACTGCTTTGCCTGTAAACTGCTATCCTCACAAGTTAATGCTTTTACGTCTGGGTTCTCTGACTGGAGACATCCTGAGCGAATTTCGGACCATGAGAAGAGTGCAAACCATAGGCACAGCATGCTGACTTTACTGCGCAGATCAAAGAATGTGGGCACAGTGGATGCTTCGCTCAGGCGGCAGAGGGGTAAAGGAAAATATTGGAAGGTCTTGAGACGCATTGTGGCTGTAATTAAATTCTTGAGTGAGAGAGGCCTAGCATTCAGAGGCGATGATGAACATTTGTGCTCATCAAGTAATGGCAATTACCTCGGATTTCTGGAACTTACTGCACAGTTTGATCCGTTTTTAAGAGACCACATAGAAAAGTACGGTCAAAAGGGACGAGGGACAACATCATAACTGTCATCTACTGTGTCTGAGGAGTTCATTTGCTTAATGGGTGAGAAAGTAAAGAAAACAATTGCAGACAAACTACAGCATGCTAAGTATTTCTCAGTCATCGTAGACTTAACCCCTGATATGTCACATGTTGACCAGTTGACATTCATTTTTAGATTTGTCAGCGAGGAAGGGAAAGTGGTGAAGAGATTCATTGGTTTCGAGCCTATTCACAGCCACACTGGAGAAAGTCTTGCTGAATGCATAGTAAAAATGGTTCATGATCTGGCGTTAGACTTGTCAAATTGCCGGGGACAAAGTTATGACAACGCCAGTAACATGGCTGGTAAATGTAACGGTCTTAGGGCACATCTGAAGTAGGTTCAAAGCCACAAGAGACGTGTTGCAGAAGCGTGACATAAACTTAGATACTGCACAGCGATTGCTGAAATCTCTGCATTAGTTTGTGGCAACACTCAGAGATCAATTTTCTCAGTTTGAAAAGTCATCTCGGGACATGAAGTGTGTGAATCATTTCTATCAACACGAGACACAGCGGGTGAGAAAAAGACAAATATTTGCAGATGAGTCCACGGAGAATGACGAGATCCTAAATGGAAGTCAGCGATTTAGGGTGGAAACATATAATGTGATCATTGACAGGTTGCTGTCCTGTCTTGCTAAACGCATCGATGCATACAGGGACTTGAATGGACTATTTGGGGTTTTGATTGATACCGATACCGTGCTGCTGCGCTCTCATCCACATATCCAGATGACCTGGACAAAGACTTT